TATCTAGATACGTATCGTATCGCGGCACCAATATGTAGCCCACGTACGTATAAGGTATCGTTAAGGTTGAAAATCGAATTCCAATTTTACTAAACGAAAGCTCAGTGTTCTGTATATTTGGAGTGTTAAATTTAACCCTAAATAATTTAAAAAGAGCGAAGCTGTGAATTTAAGTATAACTTCAGACATACAATACTAATTCTTTTCGTACAGACTCTGTTATAGCTTTAATCTATTCAAGTACTAGGGATGCGTATCTCATCACAGTAGTCGATACGATACATATCTAGATATTGGTGCCGCGATACGATACATATCTAGAGGTGCCGCTGGACACACTAAGTTCTTTCAGCTGTTGGTGCGTTACAAATGTGACAATCAGTTCTGTTTCTGTTATTCGGTTGAAAGAACCGAATAAAATCCTTGTGGTGGCGGATGTTCCTGGCTGCCTGCTATACTTGTACCTTGGTGGTCTCTGACTTGGCCATGTAGCCCACGTACGTATAAGGTATCGTTAAGGGATATCTCGAACTCTGGACTCTTTAATCTCCAGCCCGACACGTTAGTCAGTAAGCCATGTCCGACTCAAGACTTCTTTCTGTTGCATTCTTCCTGTCTTCCTTTGGTTTGGTTTGAATTTCGCGCAAAGCTACACGAGGACTATCTGCTCTATCCGTCCCTAATTTAGCAGTGATAGACTAAAGGGAAGATAGCTAGTCAACATCACCCATCTCCAACTCTTGGGCTACTCTTTTACCAACGAATAGTGGGATTGACCGTCACATTATAAAGCCCCCATAGCTGAAAGGGCGAGCATGTTTGGTGACGAGGATTCTAGCCCGCAACCCGCAGATTGCGAGTCGAGCGCCCTAACCACGAGACCATGCCAGGCCTATGTTCCTTTGAATCAAAGCTTTTAAGGATTAATGACCATTAATTATTTTACTTATTTGTGTGATCATTTACGTTAAATTATTATTGAAATATAGCGTAAGTACATCAACAACAATTTCTCCGGTGCGCTCGACAACAACGGGCACAAC